TCAACCGCCACGATCTGCTGTAGGCTAGCGCACATTTGCAAAGGTCCGGCAGAAACGTTTAGCTGATCAGTGGGCCAGGCCTCTTCAAGTGAACGGAGCTATCAGTACCTATGGAAGAGCCAGCCGATGCTAAAACTTCCCCATGACTGGGCAGACTTACTGGACATCAGCAGAACACCTCTGTGTACTTGGACTAGACGTGCCTCTATAGTCTTGACCGAAGCAGAGTCGTGGCCGAACCTTCACGTCAACTCACAGAATCTTTGTAAGCCATTTTCGAAATGGAGCTAGGCGATTCCAAGGCCTTCCCAAAAGGTATATGCGGGACCCTCTGAATTGTCTTGAATGCTGAAAATTAGAGGCTACAAAGATAATGTTAGGTTCAGTAAACTGCTGTAGATAGTCAACTGGTTAGTCACTTACGGATAAGACCAAGGTCGCAGTTGAATCCTTCAGCCTTACTGCATGGTTATGTAAACAACTTCCAAATCAACGTCAGCAAAGGAGAAGGAGGGGAAAAATCAGAGAAGTAGAGCGCTGCGGTTTTAGCGCTTTCAGCAAGTTTCCAGCGCTAGCTGAGGTAGAAAATTTTTTGAAAAATATAGTCCTTATTCTTGATTCGGTTTTTACGCTCCTCTCACTAATCCCGACCATCCCCTCCCCTCACCCTAATAACTGAGCTCAACCGCCTCTGTCGAATTCTGGAACTATTCCTGAGCGAAGCCGATTTGCGGCCGCTTCATTTGTACTAGGTGGTCGGAACTTGAAATTCAAGTTAAGCTCGCAATCAATCTATTGAAGAAGCTGAACTTCTAGAGTGGTGGTGGAATGATTCTATCTATAGACATGGCCTCTTGTTCACGAGGTTTTTGGGGTTAGGTTCCAGAAGAAAAAAAGCACGACAATCATTTTGTTGTTTTGCTCCATTTATCGACTACAGTATTCCCAGCAACTTATCGGTAAATTATTTAATTTGTTAATGTTGTCTTTCTAAATGTTATAAATTGATTTTGATGATTTTTGATTTGAGTGATTTTTCTTTCTGGACAACTATTCACAAAACTTCACTTTTTTGATCCTTTCGTTCTTTGAATCAGTAATTGCTGAAACGGTACACAAAGGGAGAAAAAACTAAGCTACTGCATAACTATTGAACCTTTCTTACTCTCGGGCCAAACTGAGGGCAAATCCTTGAAGCACATCAACGATCTTCTGGCTGTCACGATGCTTCTCTCTCGATCCCAAAGAATTCTGATTATAGGAAAGGTCTGAATCGTTTTTAGCCAAGCGTTCAGCTCAACTCGGATAAAATAGAATGGCAGAAATTGAAGGCAAACAACCAACGAGCTTCCAGTTTCTCTAAGGAATTGGGAGTGGTGTGGATGGATCAGCACTGCCCGACCTCTTCAGTGAGGAACCCTGATCAAATTCATTAAATAAAGAGATATATGCATATAAGAGAGGGAGCCTTCTAAGGGACTGAGTAGCAGCTGTCGGTAGGTGCTACGTTCTGCCTTCTGTAACTCAAAACAATTCCATTTACTCACAACAACTTGATTTTTTTCTCATATTACACAGTCTCTATAATCTATTTATTCTGAAAGGAGTTCTTGTTCCTCAGACATCATCTAGGTGTAGTAAGGTGGTGAAAAGAGCTGAGTTCGAGTTAATTGTTCCTGATCGATCCGACTGCCTCAAGGGACCTTTTCAGAATAACTGAATTTTTAATTCTGTCAGTTAGACTGATAGAAGAGTTTTCAATCACCAGCGTGACTTTGCGACCTTTACTCTATGGCCAGTACATCACCGTACACACAGATTGACGCCACTGTTTGTCTTTAATTCAACCTCATTGGCATAACAGATAAGTAAACTAACATCACTGGGTTATAGAGGAAGAGTCCTTTTCAAAACATCCGGACGAGCGTTTAGGAAATATTTGTGATTCCCGTTTATTTCGTTTCTATTACATCGTATTACTTGCCAAGATTTCCTTATAACAAATTACCCATGTTAATAACGTCTTATGGGACATTCCTACTGGCCGTTCTGAACAAACGACATGAACGGAACGGCACCCTCAGTCATTTCAACATTTAAAAGTCCAAATCCGAATAGGTATCCATCCCTACAATGTTAGTCTTCCATGGCCATGGTGGATTAGTATTGGATGCCACCGGCTCCAAACATGGTTGGGTAGGTTTTCGAACGTCAAAATCGCTTCCAAACTCAGCTGTTTTACTTAATGGAAGCCGAACGCGCGACCGTTTATTAGAGCGGGAATCGTCAACACCAGAGATTCCCTACCCTTAATACGATTACCTAGTTCTTTTTTATCCTCAAAACAACATTAACTCCGACAACAAATCAAAATTTGTCGCTCAGTCACTCTTTACTTATGCGCCGACCGCATTTCTTAAGTGCTATGAACTATTTTGACCCTCTTATTATTCTCGCTTTATTTGAGAAACACTTCGATATTCTATTCTACTCCTTTTCCTTTTTAGTTGCTCTTCTAGGTAAGGTACGCTTCCATTCCCTCTTTGTTCCGCTTTCCTACTCCTTTGGCTCCCTTCCTTTTCCCAACCACCAAGTCACCATCGCTTTGCAGCCATGTTTAAAAAATATAGTCACTTGGGTGGAGGTGGTGAAGTGGCACCACCTCCGCCTATCACACACCCATGGTCACGGGTTCGAATCACTGGTCGATATCCGTTTAGGCGAACAAGATTTCCATCCCTCTGAGGTTGGTTAATCGGGACCACACCCGAGCGGGAGGACAAATGCGCTGACTTGTACACCGATTAGTCGCCGCAATTCATTGTATACGCCACTACGATTCTGAATTGTCGAAGTCGAATGCGGGGTGCATCCTTCAGATGGGATTGACCAACTCCCGAAGTCTTTAGTCCTTTATTTCAATCGTTCTATACCGCAGTGACGATCTTCGAATCCAGACGTGTCAAAGAACCTCTGGAGGCTTTCTAGCTGGAACTTTATTTTTTCCAATCATATCTGATCTGTTAATACTATTTCACAGGACTTGCACATATTGTCCCAACTTTCCGAACCGTTTATGCTGCACTAATTTCTTCTCTCCAAAAAACTCTTGGATTGTGCTAGGCTCATTCAACTCATCCTATTAGTTAGCAGTGTTCATTCATACATTGTCATTTATTTGTATGGGATACTCTGGACACACAAAGGGCAGCTACCCTTCTGCGATACCCTCCTGACGTCCTGACCACTCTTCTAATCTTACTGAATATTTAATTTTCGATACACTGAACAAATTCTGGTTTTGATGTATCAAAAACTCGGATGATCGGTGACCCAAAGTAGGATGTACTGACATTGTGTGGATGTCGCCTTTCCTACCCTTTACCACAATCAAAGATTATGAATTCACAAGTTGGCTCCGCCATTCGATTGTATCTCCATCTTCTGAACGCCCTGACATACTTCCACAAAAGTGAACTTCCTCAGCTCATATTTCTCTCGACCTATCAGATTTCTACGATAAAACATTTATTGAGCTCGACGTTTCTTTTGAATCGTTCTTCCCTCACGGCTAGAACGCTCCGTTCTAAGCAATTCTCCATTTAATTCCAAGGGGGAAAGCGCTGCTTCAACCCTAACTCAACAGCCTCGCTTCCACTGACCAAATACTTCCTTTCCACAGGGTCCTTCCGCTCAGAAAATGTCTGAAATAGATCCAAACATCGTACATTCTATACATGTCCCAAGATTTCGAATTAATGTCGAATGCTTGGCGGATATTGGCGGATAAATCTATAATCGGAATTCATATTTCCCATAAGCTCTCGCATTTCTAACTTACCGATAGCACTCGGGGAATACACGATTTCTCAAACCGACTAAGCCAAAAGTATTAGTTCGATGCATAATTATTGCGGAAATTTTCTGAGCTCGGGATTTTTATAGAAATAATCTTCTCGAATTCCTCAACAGAAAAATGTCTTAGAAACCAACTTAATATTTTCCACATTACGCTCTACTTTTCCGAGAAAGGTTGGAAGGTGGTAGATTCATGGAGCGATCTCAACGAAGTTTTTGGTGATGGACCAATCAGCCAAAGCCATGTAAGGTATGGGATCTGCCCCCAAAATTCGCCATATTCACCGAACTCCTATGAAATATCACGTCAACCGTTCGTTGAAAGATAGGCAAGCGAACAGAAATTATGCCAAAATGGATGATTTGATGGCCGATGTCAAGGCGTGGATCGCCTTCAAGAATCGAAACTTCTTCACCTGTGGAATCCGACTGCCTAGCAAATGGGAAGCAGTGCTTGACGTAGATGGTAGTACGTCCCAGAGTAATTATTTGAACTTGCCTTTGTTGAATATTTTTATCGTTTCCTCAGATTAAATATCCGCAAAAATTATGCATCAACCTAATATAATGCAGTACTTTACGTGATGGATGTCCCGCCTAATGAAAAAAGGGGGAGGGGGGTGAAAGTAGAAATAAAAAGAATAATAATAAAGTTCTTAGAATTCTCTGCCGTTCGAGAATTCTAACAACATCATTATTATTCTTCTCATTACTTTTTTTAGTATTATTATTCTATTGTTATTATTCGTTTTATTACTTTTTTATTATTATTTATTATTCAGTGTTATTGCTCTTTTTATTACTTTTCTTTTATTTTTTTATACCTCGAATGGCAGAAGAATTCTAAAAACGTTGACGAAAATGCGGAGGTTAAATTAAGAGAGAAGTTGGAGATTAACAATAATAATAATAATAGTTTCGATATTTCACCAATGCCGTTTTGATAGGGAAAGGCTTGGAGGGGCAATTGGAAGGTTGCCAAACCCATTTCTGGGAAGCACTAGCAGAGACAACAGAGGCTGGGCGAGCCTTAAATATGCAAGGGATGACAACTAATATCCGAGAAGTGACATCCATGGCGCTCATTACCATCAACGATATACCGCCTCTCTCAGTTTCATCTCATTCTTCATTTTTTCTCCCTAGCCGAACGGCAAGGTCTATTGCTTCCTTTCTAAGGCTCTCGTCTTCCCGTAACCTTCGCACCTTCAAGATTTTCGTGAAAAAGTTGAAGGACATTGTCTAGGAAAGGGGAATTAGTTTTCAGTTCTGGCAAGTACTAACCGCATTTTAAGGGCGCATTGGAGTGTGTTGACCGGAAAAAAATGTTCCCCGGTAGACCTGCTCCTCGTAGGTGGAATTCCCACATAAATCTTTGTAATATATTCAGATTGCACAGAAACGGTCGAGAGATTGGGCTCAACAGGAATATTGCTTTTTTCGTTTCTTTTTCGTCGTGCCGTCACCAATTTTCGGCCATTTCTTCGATTTTCTGGCTTTTCCCTCCGTGATTAGCATTCCTTAAAAGGCTATCTTGAATATTTTCTTTATCCCAAATATTCTCGGAAAATCCGTTTCCTTTTGTTTTTTCTGATCCGAGCAGTTATTTAGCAACGTTTTCGGAATGCTTTTATTTTTATAGTCGTTCGATGGAATTCACGCCTTTGTTTTTATAGTTGTTCGATGGAATAAACCACGAAATAAGTTTCTGTCGTCATCGTCGTCTTCTCAATGACCGTCAACTACAATCTTTGTGTGGCAACATCACATCCTTGGACTATTCTGCGGATTCTGTTGAGATGGCGTGGAAGTGTCTGGAAGGCCGTTGGGATCGAGTCGGCAATATGGTTACTTCTCTATATTCTTATCAGTGTGATTCGCCGACAATTACTCAGCGCTGAACAACAGAGGTTCGGCTTTCATTTTTCACTATCTTGCATTTTGGACTTGATTATGGGCTTACCCAGAAACGATTATTTTCTTAGCGTTGTACCAGCTCCGACATTTTATGTTAGTAAGGGGCCATAATCCTGGTTATAATGCCCTTTTGCTCGAACGCCTTCTTCGCCCATTGCGGGTCGGTGCCCACGCGTGGGTGTGGTACAGTAGGATCGAAATTGTCGCGCGTCGCGGCGAGAGGGACATCACATACAGGAACAAAAGAACTGAGTGACTAAACAAAGAAACGAAAAAACTGTAGTGGATGCGTCTATTAATATAAAATTACAGCAATAAAGTAGCTAGATAAGTAGGAGAGGAACAAGCCGTTTTTAGTTTTTCTGCTTAACTTGTTTCAGTCACTTTGAGAAGGCGGCCCGAGTTCTAGACCAACACATGCGGGATATCCCTACTGATTTTATGCTTGGCTTCTTTGTTACGGTAATCGTGACACGATGGTCGACACTATTCAACAATATTGGCCTTATAGAGAAGTGAGTATTTCTGGATCTATATATTTCGAGAAAAAATAACAATCAGAATATTGTTTTTCTGATTCAATTTATTGTTGCAATTCAGATACTCAAATCCCCTCGTGATTGGGCAATGATTTAACTATAGTATTAGGTATTCCTGACAGCGAATCAAAGCCACAAAACACTGTACAGTCCAGAGCACAGCATGGGCCCCACGGTGATCCATTATTGAAAACGCCGCTTTCATACTCCGCGCTATCCGATGACGTAAGGGCAGGAGGCGATGGGCCTCGAATTCGATCAATATCCCTGGGTCGATGACTCATATTGGGATGACGCCCATACTTCTCAGAAAGCCGTACTCTCAATTTTTTTGAATATCTGTTGATTACAGCTCTTAAACTGGTAACTCAGTAGCTAGTACTACCTCGTTGAGTATTATTTTCAATAGAATATTACTTCCTCACTTTGTAGTTCCATATTTGGGACCTACCGGGACAGTAGGGAATTTAGCTGGTTCTCCACATAAATGGCTGAAGCGTGAAATAGTAAGGAAGAAACAAAACAGGACAAGCTTCGAAAGCGATGAATCACAGCACGAGTCATCTATGGGATATTGATTGACGCCGACACCAGCACCACTCGTCCATCGCCACTCGAATTTCGCGCACGCGTCAGTGCGAAGTATAAACGCAGTCAAGTAGCCCTAACTGTTCTACTCCCCATTCTGAGAGGGCTTTGATGCTGAGCTTTGATTGTCGGAGTAGATGTTTGAATGGAAAGCATTAACACTTCTAATGGCCACTGCATCCTCCAGAACTGACTTCAAAAAACTGTACCTAACAATTTCGTATGCATAAGAAAAGCATCATAGCTATTCATAGGAAAGCAACGAGTTTTGCAGCCTTGCTCATGCAATTTCGGCGTGCATACGTGGATCAGACGATGCGACAAGAACACGACGTCGAAATATAATCAGGTACGGTACATCAATTATGGATTTAAAAGGGCACTTTAGTAAAACAGCTCCACCTTGTAATTCCAATTTTCCTTCGACATGAATCTATCTCGATCGAACTCCCTGGATTGTCCCAAAATGCAGTGATTACTAAAGCGAGCGGAAAAGCATGCTCTATCATGGTCTGTAGTGTAATAGTGACTGCTCTGAGCACGTTCTAGCGTAACTGTGGCATTAGTCCGATTTCAAGTAATGGCGGGCCTCTCAGAAAATCGCGCAATGAGTGACTAGAGAATATAAATGTAAGAGAAGATGAAGAACCGAAGATGATCTGAGTACTTTTCGTGTCCCTAGCAATTCAGGTTCCTTCTACATCGCTTAGCGGCTATTTGCCCACATTTGACGGATTCCCATACCAGCAGAGGCCTCTAAACTAGGGATTCCCAAGACACCGAGATAGGACTAGTTCTCTTTTCTTGAAATTGGAATTACAACAGTTGGGCCGGGACGACAGACTAGCCGGATAAACGTGTTGAAAGCTTAGGTGAAGCGAAAACCGTCCGCGAATCCACTGGCAGTTCTCCATGGTGCAGAAAATTTGCAAATTTGTAACCACGATTTTCAAAAATCTCAGGGCATTCCTCTGTTTACTTCAAGTAGATTGCATAATCACCTCATACATATTCCTCATGCAGGTACTGTGTCGTCGCACAGCTGCTCGCCTTCCGGGATATCTCTGTACAGGTACGGAAGAGATTCCCGACAATGGATACGATAGTGGCTTCAGGTAGGTGATTTGGGGGACAACAAGAGACCTTAAAAACTTTTGAGAAATTTCATTCAGGTTTCTTGATGCGTCATGAACTTGAAGAACTCGAAGGTCTCAATTCTGCCGCAGCCCATATGGGTAAACATGGTTGCCTTTATGGACTTACGTGGATTCCTATTGAATGGGCGATCACTCTTCTAAAGAAAGCCAGATACAACGATGAAACTATTTCGAGCGATATCCTGCTTGTGAAGTGTTTGGAGGTAAACTGTCCTTCAAGTATGAGTTATACCTGATCTATTCCTCGAATGGGACGAGTTCCAGGAACTTCGACGATTTCGCACGAACCTTCTCACTCTCACCAACTATGACTGGGTACCGATTCCGATAATGTATCCACAACTAGTCTCCCTAGCAGTTCACCTCTTCTTCTTCATCGCCCTCTTCTCACGTCAATTCTCCCCATCGGACGATACTACTGTGAGCTTTTTTAATGTACCCAAAAGGAATAGTCAAAAAAGAATAAGACAAAGCAACCGATAAATCTTTTATTGGGTTACACCATGTATCCGACTAACCCTCAGAGTCGTGACTGCCCTGCTTCGACTAAACCAAAGAAGTTTCATGACTAAGTAAGTACATAGCACCCAGCAGAAGCAATTACCAGCCAGTCTGGTCACTGTATCTCCGTTGCCAATCCGCTCAGCATACATAAAGCTGGATCCAAAGTCACACGATACTTTCAGGTGGAGTACGTGATCCCTCTCATGTCGTGTCTACAGTTCACATTCTATATGGGCTGGCTGAAAGTTGCAGAAGCCCTTCTGAATCCATTTGGTGAAGATGACGACGATTTTGAGTGCAACTTCCTCTTGGATAGGAATCTCGTGGTCAGTTCGCTGCAGTATATCTGAAACAGAGACTGACTAAAGTCATGGCTTAATTGACGTCGTGGAAGGGAACTAGTTTCTCTCGGATTTTTTGAAGAAGTTGTCTTACAGATAGGTATTTCCATTGTTGATGACGGTAATGATCGTGTTCCGGAGCAGATGAAAGACGAATTTTGGCAGCTACCAATCGATCTACTCTATAGTTCTTCGTCCATACAACGATACACACAACCGTTGACCGGATCAGCTGCAGCCATCGAGTAAGTGCACGTTTTTCGTAATTTTCACCGGCTTAATACAGATACCAGGTCTTTGGTTCACTACTTATACGCATTTTACCTAGGCAAAGTCGTGGGAAATGTAGTAGAAGTCACAACTGTCTTCAGCGTGCGGTATTTCCTAGCTATTTGTCTCGTCACAAGCACTAGGGCGCTTATCTTGGTTAGTTGTCTCACCGCGCGGCTGTTCGGAAATAACGCCTGTCCCATTAAAGCACTAGTTCACCTAATATGTTGGCCTATGTATTCCCATTATCAAAAAAGTCTCAAATTGTGAAGGGAACCCCAGGCATGAAGGCACAGAGAACCCAGCATCTTATTGTGCTCCTGACGAGGCTCTTTGACAATTTTACGGCTACTCAGTTCTCCAATCTGGGAAATACCTGCAATTTCCCAGTATTGATTCAAGTAATCTGCCTTTTTGCTTGTCACCCGTTCCAGTCCCGTTCGAATCCTATCCTTCCAGAAAAAANAAAAAATGGGTCAAAGTTCCAGTACGCGCTAGGCTTTTCACTGAGCAAACAAAATTTCGTAGCAGAGATACATAAACCAGGGCCGTAGGCGGCCCTTGATTGCGGAGCGATGACAGTATCGTCTGGGTACGGTATCGGTGTTAGGTTTAAATTTACAATGAGCAGTTTGAAGAGGCGGATGTCGAAGTCCTCATCGCAATACTTATGCATTGCATCGGACGTCGTCAATGCACTCCTTTCAGCTGTTGGCAAGTAAGATATCGCAAAAAATTCGTAAGTCTATGTAGTGTAGGGGTGGCATCTAACACTAACAACGCAAAAAAACTAACGTTCAATTCAACGGTTCAAGGAAAAAACATTTTGTGAACAGTAACTCTGAAGGAATGTGACCCAGTATTTGGAAAGAGAGATGGAGACCTCCCCGAGGGCGGAATCCATCGCCCAGACAGAAGCAGCATTGACCTCGGGCACTTTACTCGAATTAATTTTAGATTACCAACGAATGTCAATGAAATCACCATGATGTCGTTGAATGGACGAGAATGCGACTGTTCCAGCCCAAGGAAAATCAGTATCATCAGATCGTTAGTTTCCCCACCACTCCGGTGGATTTTAGAGGGACTTCAATATAATGCCCTATTTCAGGTCATCCTCAATTGCTTCACCGAGTATGAACGGAGTAGTCTCGAGCATTCGAAGGAAGATCTCGAGGTAACTCAACTCAATCGTTACTGTAAATGCCGACTCGAAGGTTAGGTCTGGAACGGGCTCAAGTCGAGGGTCATAACTAGAACTAAACGTGGAAAAAAGGGAAGCGAGCAGCAACTACGAAAGAAACATGCCTTCAGAGCCTTCATATATTCCACTCAAATTGATAATTTCTCTACAGAGGCACCAATTCACAGCTTCTATCTCATAGTTGGTGATAGCTACAACACCATCCTATTGCCCCTCGACATTTATGATTTGCCCCAAATGATATTGTTGCGCCCAATTCTTGTTGTAAACAAATAAACATGTTCCGTTCTCTGAACCGCAAAATTCCTTTTTTCTTCATTCACCATGATTTTTTTTTCGCAAAGTTATATTATTACTATATTTATATTATATTATTATCATATTATTATATTTTATATTATTATTTGTTATTATATTTTTTATTTTTTTACAATAATCGCAAAGTTTTATTAAGGGGTTCATCGGTATCTGATCAGACGCAGGGACCAGTACGGCAACTTTCCGTCAGAGGTAAGCACTCAAAAAGCTCAAAATTCCAAATCATTTTTTCACATTGAAACGGAAAAAATCGGAGTTCCGTGGTGATGTGGTTCTTTTTCAGATGATGTCCTACCATCGTGGATTGACCATCGACTCAGCGTGAGTTTGAAATTGGTATTTGCTTTAAAAGGTGGAGGTAATCCAGAAGTGTACCTAAAGGTATGTGGCGCAAAATCACACGCGCATGGTGTACGGTCGAAACACGGTACACACCCAAGCGAAGCAAATCTTCCATCCTTCCGGGGTCACTTATTTGGTGCCAGACATGACTGGGAGGATGAAAGCACTGACTTCATCGGCTGACCACCGCATGTCATTATATTCGCCGCATATGCATTCAAACCATCACTACGAAACAAAAGTCGAATGTGGAGGCGTATCCCAAAAACAGAATTTATTAACGTCCAAGATTTGAAGACCTTCATTTTTATCAGAGAATGGATTTTCAAAGAAAGAAGGGATTGTTTGGAACATCACTCGCTACCAGAATCAGATCAGAACCAGAAAAGCAACTTTTCTGATTGCTTCAAAACAATCCGAAAAAATCGAAAATGGGGCCTAAAGTCGTGGTTATCGACAAACATGGATTTGTCATGAGCGCGACAATTAACGATGTTCAAATAAGGATTCCTTACCTGAACATTACAGCAAGAATTTCACACCTTTGACCAGGATGTACCTCCAACCCTTCGATAAGCTTAAATACATGGCTA